GCCCTGCCTCTGACCTCCCTTCTGCCCCTACAAGCACGCCCTGCAGAGGGCCAAAGGCCCCTCCCCAGGTCGGTGCAGCCCGTGGGACTTTACACACGCTGCTGCCTCTCGAGGAACAGGGTGCTGTCTGCCACCCCATCTTCTGCAGCATCACCAGCTCCTCAGCACCCCCACTCCCATCCCCCCACCCACATGTACCGGCCCTTTGCCTAACAATTTCATCCTCTAGGTTCAGCCTAAGCACTGATTCCTCGTCAAAGTCTCTTGTCTTAGAAAGAGCTCCTGGCAACCTGCTCCCTAAGTATCTCTGTGCTTGAGGGTGCTCATTTCAAATGGGACGATGATGCCTACCTCATAGAATTGCTAGGGTTGGAATGAGCACTAAATGAGCTCACGTGTGGATAGAGCATAGTACACGGCCTAACATGCAAACTACGTGGGTTCCCTCAGCCTCTGGAATAGTCGGCACGTTTCATCCAAGGACGGTGGGATCCACAGCGGGGCCAAGCCTGCTTTGACACATCTGCATCCACAGCGCCTGGTACAGAACAGACCTCAAAATGCATGAAATGAGCGAATGAAAGGAAAGTGAGTGAATGAGTGGACGTGCTTTAAAACTTGTATGCAAATACTTTTTTTACAAAGCCGGTGTAGTTATTAAGGACTAAGAGAAGCGCATTTCTTTTAGATCAGCTGTGTCAGAGATGCCCTGCTTTCCCTGTTCCCTCGGGTGGACACGTAGCTTGTACAGTTCGCTGATGCCCACTGTGACAGTTGAAGACATTGCTTCCTAAAATCTTGACCCGGCGGAAACCAGCATATCCCTCAATTAGACTTAGACAGCTTTTCCTGGCCTTCAGGGAAAATGTTGACTAATCCCGTCCGCACCTAAGCGAGAGCAAGCATTATTTGTACACAGCAGCTCATGCACTCTACGACCTGGCCCGGTCCCTGAACCTCTTGGCACTAGCCCATCAGGCGGTTGGCCTAGACACCTTCTGATAGACCTTGCAGAGACAGTCCCCGAGTCGTTATAAGCAGGGTCTGATTATTTTCCCAGGAAATCAGCGACCCGGAGATCTTGGATCTGGTCCACAGTGCCCTTGGCAGGATGACTGTGGTTCGGCAAATCTTCCCATCTGCCAAGGACAACCAGAAATGCATGAGGAACAACCACCGCATCTCCTCCCTGCTCTGCGACCCCCAGGAAGGCTATCTCCAGATGCTGCAGGTCAGTGCTCGGGCCCCCTGTGCCGCCTCCGCCCACATGCTTACCCGCTGCAGGAGACACCCCCTGGGCTTGGGCTCAGCGCTGTTGCCCACTGACTTTAATTACAAGAACTCTTACATTTGCTGAAATGGAAACCAATCGACTGGGCAGTGCCTCTGAGCAGCATTAGCAGGCAATTATGCCTGTGGTTGGTGTATTAGCTCGCTGGGGGCCTCTGGTATTTAAAAGTTACATGCTTAGGGGTAAAGAGATTCCTGCCTCAGCCTCTGTGAAGGCTGTTCGGTGGGGACTGGTTCGACAGGCAGAGCTAGGGATGGAGTCTTCCTTTGGGAAGTCATTACTTTGAGCCTGTTTCAGCTCTTTCTGGTAGGGAGTCAGATACAGGCGCGTCTCTTGCTGAACAACGTGGGGCCGCCTGGGACCCAGGCCGAGTGCTCAGGCTCAGCTCCAACAGGACAGTGCTGGGCTCCCAGATAAGCAGGGAGAGGTAGGACAGCGGGACCATGCCAGGCCTGCTCCTGCCCAACAGCCAGAGGAAGGAAGTGTTCACGATCAGCCCTCTGTCCGTTCCCCCAGAGCATGAGCTGTCTGCAGTAGCTGTGGCTTCAGGCTGGGATGGGCCATTCTGGGCCTGTTGTGAGAGGTGGTTTCTTTTGGGATGTTTGGGAGCGACAAGGGAGGAGTGTGGAGAGTGTGGTGGGCAGCTCCAAATCCAGCTTTCTCTCAGGGATGTTGTGCATAAGAAAATGCACACTGGTGCTCATTAGAGAAGGAAACATCTCCGAGGTGGGTATCTGGAAAGGCCCAGAACTTTGTGCACATGATAGGCTCACCGCTCAGCCCTGGAGCAGCCCCCTTCTCCACCCAGCTAGGTGCGGGCAGTGGAAGGCTCACCGCTCAGCCCTGGAGCAGCCCCCTTCTCCACCCAGCTAGGCGCGGGCAGTGGAAGCCAGGGCAGGGCTCCATCTGCCCCTGAGCCCCGAGTAGCGGCTCTGCCCAGCACATTTTGGTTTCTCTATCCCAGGTGCCACGCGTTTTGGGGAGGAGGCTTCTTGGCATCTTGAGAGGGCTGTGAACATGAGCAGTGTGCCGAAGCACTGACTCCATATCCGATATTTGGGAGAGGAAGGTCAGGCCTCCGATGGAGTGGACATCCTCAGTTGATGGGGAAACACAGCAGACCCCTAGTTTAGCTGGAGTAACCCCCACTATTCTGGTGGGCATGCCTCAGAGAGCCCATCAGAATTCCTGGGGTCTTCTCAACATGGCCAAGGGATGAAGCAAGGCCTACACAGGCCCCACAGACTTGAGATACCTGGGCATGTGGGTCAGAGTGAGAGACCCTTGATGTGAGATTTTATATTTTTTGATGCTGTTGGCCTGTTCTATCTTTCTCCTTCCTGGGGTTTGGAAGAGGTGGCAAGGGCCAAGCAAGTCCCTCTCATGGGCCCTCTGCTTCCTCCTCCCAGTGTCCTTGTGTGTGGACGTGGAGTTAGACAGCCGGTCTCTGTGGGGCCAGAGCCTGTAACAGTCTCACTTCCTGGAAGGTCTCTGCAGGTTCTCTCTCAGAACACCCCGTCCTCACCCTTGCCCTGCCTCGTATTGGGTGGCCCATTTCTCCAGGTCTTGCTGGTCTGTCTTCACTCATTCTACTTAAAGAACAAAGTTGGGGCTGCTGTCCCCTGCACAGACATGTGAAGGCAGGAAGGTATCGTGGTTATTCCTTCTGCAGTAGCCCAGAAGGTGCACGTGGGCATAACAAACACTCTGGGTGCAGAGAGTCGTCCCCTGGAGCGTGAGTGAGAAAGGGAGACTAGGGGTGTCGACAGTCCAGCCGAGGGCACCCTGGACAATGTGCACCATTGCGAGGATGAACGGAAGCACAGCCCTGAGGTGGGTGGCCCGACATTCACGTGTGAGGAGTTGCCATCAGACCTAGGAACCCCGGGACACCCTACCTCTCTGTTCCCGCTGAGACTCAAGCACTAAAGAAAGCGTGGCATTTATTTATTGTCATTCCGCACCTCAGTTTCCTCCTCTGTAAATTGAGAATTAGAAATCATCTGACCTCTAGATTCGTAATGAAAATTAAATGAGAGAACATATAGAAAGCATCGAATACAGGGCGACGCTGTTCACAGCATCAGCATGACTGAGGAGGTGGCCAGGCGTGTCCAGGGCTTCCATGGAAAGGTGAACACAGCCGAGCCCTTTTGTTCTTGTCTGGTGTGATACAGTCTACCTAGTTTCCTGGGCATTGTTTTTCCAAGCACCACTGCAGGAGGGAGAGCATTTGCCATCTGTCCGGCTCCTCATCATGAGCTTTGGGCCCCACTCACTGCTCGCATCACATAGGGGGTGCGCGACCACAGCCGCCTTGCTCGGGAGAGGGGAGAACATGTGTGTCAGACACACTTAGCTTTCCTATGGGACCCCACTTACTGAAGACTTTCAATAAGGGCTTGCGAGGGGACTGTTACGAAGGCAGGTCTTAACGTTAAACAGTCTCTAGACACCTCTTCATATACATACACACATGCATACATGCACATGCGCGACTTACACATATAAACAATTTATTAAAGGAATCCCTGCATCTATTTATGGCATCTGCTTCCTTGCGCAGGGAATATGATGGAAGGGATGGAAATGGAGATCTATTTACTCGTCCTGCCCAACCAGCACTTGGGCAGCTTGTAGATTCATCTCATTTACAAGCCGTTCCCTTCGAGTTTTCTCTGTAGCTATTACCACTTCTCTCTTTCTTAATGGCAGTGTAGAAGGCAAACTAATTTCTACTAGCCTCTAGCTGTGAGATTTATCGAGGAGACTCTAGCATGTTTAGAACAACTAACTCCAGGGGAAAAAAAAACATTTATGTCATGGATTATTACCTTTGTCTTGATGAAATTAATGAACATTCTTTGGAAATGGAGCTTTCCAGTCCATCTGTAGTTCCTCTCTCAGGCGACTGCTCTTGGGGAGATGGCTCCGATTTAGAAGTTTCTGTGAGGACCAGCAGGAGCAGCGAACTCTGCAAGACCATCCATCTCTCGACTTCTCCGCCGAGCTGGCCTCGAACTCTATCTCTTTCTATTAGGCCTGTGGTCAAGGCTTTCTCTGCTCCAAAGTCGGCCAAGCACTATTACAGAAAATCAATTTGGCCTCTATCTGGTAGAAAGAAAGCCCCTCAGAAGAAAAACACCTAAAAAAGTGGCTTCTGTGGCTCCGGAGCTCTGCCCCGCTGACAAGCAGCCCTGCGGTTTATTTTCCCTGCAAAGCAGTGTCTTCCCTGGGCGTTTCTCATCCTCGTTCTCTTGACAAATTATCTTAGGGCTTGTCTGACTTGGCCAGTAATAAAAGTGGTAATCGGTAGCTCAGAGCCCTGAGATTTTGCGAGGATGTCATGGGCAGCCTTGCTCCGAGAAGAATATGTGACCTGCTCTGTCTCGGAAACTGCGCTGGCCTGCGACTTCAGGGCTGCGGTTGAAGTGACAGACCTATCATGCTGTCGCCATCCCATTTACATTCAAATGTGTTTGCAAAGGGTGGCGGCGAATGGGAGAAGCCGTGTGTCTGGTCACTGTGGAGCCTGGTCCCTGAATCATGCCGTGGGCTAATGTGATATTATTATAAAATGTTCCCTTGGGGTGCAATTTCTCTTCTTGGTGCATTTGCAAATTGTCGAATGGCTTGATGGAATCACCCCCCGCCCACGTTCAATCCATTGAAGTGTTTCTGTCTGCACTCCTCCACTCATCCCGATTTCTTCCGGGCTTTCTGTCCTCTTTCCTGGCCGCAAGGTTTTGTTGAGCTGTCAGGAGAAGCCTTTCCTCCGGAGCGTCAGCGAGGCTCCTTACTCCAGCTGCCAGGACTTCCTGTTACCGTCAAGGGTTTCCTGGTGCTAAGGACCCGGCCCGCGGTGCTGGACAGAGGCGGGGCTGGAAGCTGTGTCAGATGACCGTGCGGGTGGTCTTCTCGGTGCAGCTGGCTGCTGTGCTGTCCGCAGGTGGCCATGTGTGCACTGGAGCCCAGAGAACTGTGGATGTGTGACCCCCCCTCTCCACACTCCCCTCAGGCTCAGTGCTGTCTCCTACTGCATCCGCTCCCTGCTGAGGTCTGGCTGTGGTACCCTCTTTCAGGACAGGTGGGCTGGCAGCAGGCTAGTCGAGAGGCCTTGTCTGGGGATGGCGTCTTCGCACTTGACGTCTGGCATCAGCCTGTCCTCCCAGCTGCCTCCTCTGCCGGCTGCAGGGCTGACTCTGCAGCCAGCCAGCGCCTGTCGGGATCTGGTCAGAGGTCAGTTCCTGCTGCTTGTCCCTGTGTGTCTCCCTGAGCAGTCCACTCTGCTTATTCGTGACAGGGGGTGAGAAAAGCAGGTTCTTTAGAAGCCAGGAGGAAATGCAACCTCTTAATAAAATACTTCCCACACTTCCAGCTTTGGTGGAGAGGGTAGCGGTCTGGGCCGCGTGGCTCTGACCCAGGGTCACCTTCCTTTACCTTCAGTTAGGATTTCTACCTTGATGTGAACACACAGCAGCTCCCTTCAGCATTACGAAGATAGGGCTGGGCACCCTAAGGAGGCCTAACCAGAGTCTCACTTTGCCATGGGAAAGACACGTGCTGGGTGTCAGGAAGGAGGCTGGCCTGGCTCTGGCGGGCACACCCTCCTGTCTGAGGGCCGGACCTCTCGTCTGAGGGGACATTTGGATAGGCTTGGAGCACAGCACCCCTTAGGAGCTCAGTGGATTTCATGAGTGGTTTATATTTTTATTATCTTTTGGTCCTAACCCTGCTTCTGAACATTGCAAGTGACCAGAGCATCTGGGCTTCCGACAGGGCTGCCTCTGCTCGGCTCTGTGCTCGCCTGGGTGGAAAATTAGCGCGTTTCTGATTTCGAGAGGATGGCATATCGCCACCCACAAAAGGTATCTGCTATCGTCTGAGTGTTTGCCCCCAGATTCGTATACTGAAACCTAATCTCCAACGTGATGAACAGT